ATTACCATGACAGCATTTTTTTTTTGGACACTGTTTAGATAGCAAAGTGGGGTATGTTTGATCTTTAATATGGACATCAGGTGGAAATTATGGATTTGAAATTCATTAAAAAAGACAATATGTTGGAAATAAGACACCACATTATTGTGATGTTGTGAACACTGGTCTATACACAAACAGTCTCATTATCAGTGTTGGGGCTAAAGGCACAGCCTTGCTGCATTTGTCACTTGCATATATTTTTCTGTCTGTGGTGCGGCTCACTATCTGTTTATATATAAATTCTTTCCGTGGACTTTTGCAAACATAAAGACAGGGCGGGGTCTCATTCCTTAGTATTTGAAGAATTCTAGACAAAGGAACCAAGTGCTCTAGGGTCACATATTTCTCTTCAGTCTCTAGCAGGTATGTGGGGCTGGGGTTTTTAGGAAGAGTACAGATGACGTCAAGTTTTGTGATGTTTCAAAGCAAAGGATAAACTTCTCCAATGTGTTTTCAAAAGGCAGGAGGAAAGGGTAACTCAGGAAGTAAGAAAGCCAGACTTAGGGAGCTGACCTTGTGTTCTTTGACAGAATGGTATAGGATGGAGCAAGATATCCATCCTACCATATTTGAAGACATAAACAACGCTAAGTGAGAGCATTATCTGGCCCGGTGGGCATGGATTTTGCAAACATTCATATGGAGAAATGGTGCAGTTACCCTGCTGCCTGACCCGGAAACACCGTTAACAGAAATGGAGGGAAGAGGCTGTCCCTTGCCAGACACATAGTTGTTTCATGGACATTTGATGGGGGCAAACCCTCCAGTCTCTTAGAAGAGAAGCACATTCTCGATGCCTTTAATATCATGCTCGGTTCTAGGCTCACAACTAGCTCGAGGTTCTGGTTTTAACTTGAGTTAGGGCTTTTCAAATGGAAAAGGTGCACCATTAATTCCCATACCCACACAGTCTGCTGAAGGAAAAACAGAACTTTGATAGCATCTTGCCCTTGGGCCTAATTATGGCCTAAAGGTTTGGCCACAGCACAAGGATCTACATTTCACAGCAAACTGCCAGTGAAATGAGAAACATTCTACATATCGCCCAGATCAATTTTCCATGTATCACCGATCATTAGATACATAAAAGCACGATGGTATTTTTGCTTATCACTTTCCAGTTACTCAGGGGGCAGCCAGCAGTTAAAATTTACATACGTGAGTCCAACCATTCCTTCAAAAGGCAAGTACTGGGCCTTTATTATGTATGACACAGAGTGGATTCATCATGGAGGTAATGAAACCAAGCTTCAGGGAGCCTCACTTATACTCATACAAGCCCTCTCCAAAACCTTGTACCTAATTTTCTAGTCATGCTTTTGCATTCATTTTCCTTAAAGACCCCCCCCCCACGCCCAGCTGTATATTTTTCAAGCCCCATATGATCTTGATCAGACTTTGGTGAGGTCCTGGAGAAAACACAAGAATCTCAGTTGTCAGCCTGAGACTAGGGCAACTTCGACTGAAACAGGATGTAGATAAAAACACAAACCTGACTACCGGGTCCTCAAATCAGCTGAGAATTTGATCCATGCTGCTGAAGTCCCCTCCTGAGTCCCCTGTGTATTCCCATGGCCCCACAATGATCTGTAATTCCAGGGACGTGGTCAGGGGGAGAAGCCAGAAATGCAGATGGGAGGATGAGTGGCCAGTAGAGCCTGGTGGCTCTTAACCAGCCGATTCCCTGGTGAGCAGAGAGCTTGATGTGGTGCTCGATCCCAAGACCCTGGGATCATGACCTGAGCTGAAGGCAGACGCTTAACCGACTGAGCCACCCAAGCTCCCCAAGGATTTGCTTATTTTCCCCCTTTCATCTGAACCAAGTAACACAAAATAAAACTTTTAGATTATACATTATTTTCTCTCATTCTGTGCCCTCATTTCTCCCTTTAAAGGAAAGGAAGGAGGCTACCCTTTTTTCCTTTGGTTGAGGGAAGGTTTGGCATTCCTAGGGCTGCTCGTTTCTGGCTACACAGTTCCCTTTCCCTGTCTGTGAAATGAGCACAGGGAAGTTGCCAGAATGACAGCAGGGAACCAGGGGTTTGGGTCAGATCTGTCCCCTGCCAGGGGGAGCAAGGCCCAGTTTGGTTTGCTTTGCTCCTCTGCTACCCACTTCCCAGCTCTGTCACACTCCATTCTGCAGCTGGACCCACAACCTCACAGCCCAGGGGTCTATGAGACAGAAGTAAAGGGCAGGGGAGAGGGAAGGATGGATGATAACCACTGTCTGACACGTCTTCCGCATTTACCCACTAATATGCAACAACCTCTTCCTTGCAAGCCTATAAGCTAACATTCACTCTGGCCAGAGCTCCCAGACTATTTTTGGAATAAAGTTACTCTGACTTGAAAGATGAATTAAAACACATTTGGAGACACCCCCGTTTCCTCCAGCGTGAGGTGCTTAAATTGTAGCCCGCGGAGAGACGGTCGCTGAAGTACTCATACGTTAATGACTGCGGGAAATGATTAGGGAGGTTGATATGTCCTGAGCAGGGGCTCGCCATCTGTGCCCGTCATGCTACGGCTCCGTCCGTGGACTGCTGTGTTGGCTGTTAAGATTCTGATGCGGAAATTGGAAGGGGAGGTGAACCATGAGAGACTATGGACTCTGAAAAACAATCTGAGGGTTTTGAAGGGGCGGGGGGTGGGAGGTTGGGGGAACCAGGTGGTGGGTACTAGAGAGGGCACGGATTGCATGGAGCCCTGGGTGTGGTGCAAAAACAATGAATACTGTTACGCTGAAAAGAAATAAAAAATTAAAAAAAAAAAAAGATTCTGATGCGGGCAACAGGCAAATAGAGTCCAAACGACTCTGGACTCTGATGTGGGGCATGCGAGGAAGTCAAGAGGATTGCTCAGTCTCTAACCGAGGAGGGGGTGAGGCAGGAAAGGGTATTTCAAGTGCTTGACCTTCACCGATTACGTCTGAAAATGTTTGCCTCTATACAGTCAGTACCACCCACTGGTGTTTTTTCTTGTACTGACCATGTTGCTGTCTTTCAGGTATATAATTACACACACACACACACACACACACACCCCTCAAAAAAAGAAAGCGCAGCCCTTCCCAGATTTCCTCCACACAAGGGCAGGCAGGAGTGCACTGAGCCCTGTGTCAAGGAGCCAAAAGACCTGCTTTTATTGGCTCTCACGACGGCTGGCGTGGGAAGCCTAGGGTCTCTCTCTCTTTCCCCCCCCAAAACAAGCTGTCTGCACTGGGTTTAAGCATGAGGAGAGGAAATTGGGGAAATAGCGCTTTCCGTAAAATGACCACAACTGTTGGTGGAGGAAGGAGTGGTAAGAGGGTGGGAGGGCTTTTTTAAAAATGTGTTTTCCTTAAGCGACCAGAATCACAACATTCAACCACGTCTATTCCTAACAAACCCCCAAAGTACGTAGGCGTCTCCTTAGCTCAGTGAAGATGTGTCAGCTCCGTTATTTGATTAGCATTTCTGAGATGTGATTACCTGATCTGGTTGAACTCTTCTATTTTCTAGCCTTTTCTGAAGACATGTCATGTGACCTCTGGGTGGCTCCCTGCATGGTCATTGATTCTATTCTCAGCTAGAAAAGTAGGAAAACTGCTAAAAAATCAAAACCAAACCAAACAAAAAAATAACAATCCCCCAAAACCCAGGGAAGGAACAGCGGAGGGAGCTGAGCCCCAGGTGAAGTGCTCACCCTGTTCCCCTGTGAGCCTCCCAACCCGGTCCACAGAGGGATGGCGTTTCAACTCGCGGTGGTGGATGCAGTTGACTCTTTTCTTGGGACTCTTGGGACAACTTTAAATTGAGAGAATTTTTCACCTAAGGCTGTTGGTGATCGTTACATGGTTGTTTAAACATTTACGAGAGAGGACAAAATGGGGTAAGATCTGGGATAATAGTCTATTGTGCATCCGTGTGCGTGTGTGTGTGTGTGTGTGTGTGTGTTTGTGTGATTTGGGGGTTTCAAAGAAAGGACTTTACAAATCAGTTGTCATTTTTGTTTTCAAAATTATTCCTTCAGGTAAAAAAAAAAAAAAAAAGAATGAAAATATTTTCCATTCAGGAGACATAAACCTACATGTGTGAACGGAGTGGGATGAATCATTTTGCTCTTTAATTTTCCTGAGTTGAACATTGCATTTGTTGTCAGTGTCCTAACCTGTGACTGTCAGAAGTTGGGAGATCAAGAAACACCTCATTGAAAGACAAATTCTTGTTTCCTTCAGGCGACTAAATGCGGAAGTGCAGACAGGAGATAAAAAAAAAAAAAAAAAGCTAGCTTCATGGAGGCAGCGTGGAAATTCCACCCAGAGGAACACTTCTTAGCTGAGAGCCGTCTAAACTCACAGGAAATCATACACAGGTTCTAAGACACATTATCCACAGGTTGTGAACAAAGGTTCATAATGTTTCCAGAGTCAGAATTGTTTACCTTCCTTCCACCTACCGCGGAAAACTTACGTAACTTTTTTTTTTTTTCTTCTAAGGATAGGTAACAGATTTTAAAATATTCCCGTGAGGTTTCGCCTTAAGGCAACCTACACTGACCCCCCCCCCCCGCCCCCCGACAAAGGAAACTGACTGCCAGAAAAAGACCCCAGAACTCTATAATCACTGAAAATCAGTAACAAACTTGCTCTGACAGACACTGTGAGAGAAAAACACTTGCAAAGAGAAGTCGGAGTCATTCCTTCCCTCCACCTAGATCACTTACACCCACAGCAAACAAGACAACATCTGGATATTGTTTCACAGGCAAGAATAAAGCACTTTCCCCCCCATCATTAAGTAAAAAACCCGTTTTCCACATGCAAACAGCACTTGTAAATTTCCCCCAGATAAGCTTGGAAGTTTTGAATGATTTAAGTGAGTTTTAAGAGAATCACCACTCGCTCATTGCCTGGGAGTAAAGTTTTTCAGAAATCTCTCCAGCCGGCTGAGTGCTACGGCGTTGAACGAGGCGCATACCTCTTACCTGCAGGGACAGATGCACTGGACTCCTGCCTCGATGGGAAGCTATGACCCGGCGAGGAAATGATCGGTCGATGCAGGTTGTCTTGGGGAAGATAGGTGTTCAGGTTCTCTCAAAGTGAAGAAAAGTCTCTCGCTGCTCGCTGTCAGTCAAAAACAAGTTGGTACAAGTTTGAGTAGGATTTACCTGAAGGAACTGAGGAGAGGAGGAAAGAGATTGGAAGAGATTGAGCAGAGGGAGGAGGGACAAGGAGGGAAGAGGGAGGGGGAGAAGCAGAGGGAGAAAGGGAGAGGGAAAGAGGGCTCCATGATGTCAGCAGTATGCCTTAAGGAAATCTACAGACCAGCAAAAAATTCTAGTGGACACCCAGTCCTGAGCCCTCTGAACACCTGTAGGAAAGAAAACTTACGTCCTTTTAAAGAAAAAAGCCAGTTAATCTTTGAAGAAACTTTGGCCACTCTTATCAAGCCCTTTTTAAAGGCCCTTTTGCCTAAATAAACCACAAATAAATAACCAGATGATCTCTTCTGGTTAGAAGCTCTCCTATACCCCATGTTCTCTCCTCCTCTTCCCTCTCCCCACTGCAAATGAGTGTTGACAAAAATCCCTGCTTCTTGAGAAAAGCGAAGCAAACTCATACAGATGACACACATATGAAATATATAGGAGCAAAATGTCACAGAGAAAAACTCTGTGTTTTTAGTTCAATCTCCCTATAGCCTCTGTTTTCCCTGACCAAAAAAGCATAAAGAAGTTGGATAGATATGGGTAAAATTGGGTTCTTTTGGATCATGGAAGTTGGAATTGAAGCTGGTTTCCAGCATTTGCGCCCCATGTCCACGCTTTTATGAGAAATGGTCAAATTTTCATCTTTGAAGCAGAAGTCTAAGGGGAGGTCTCTGTCTCTGGAAATGGAAGCAGAGTTTCTTTCTGGAATACAGCTGTATGTCCTCCCTACACCAAGCCATTGCTTGTGGCCATCGCTCCAGAGCCCCGGTAGGTTGCCAGGCTTCCTGTGGCCAGATTGCACGTGGACCCTGGCAAGCCGCTGAAAGAAGGACGGCTCTCCCACAGGCACCTTCCGCGGCGAGATCCCCTGCTCTGGTCCAAAGGCAGCACCAGGGGAAACCAAGGGTCTCTGTCACAAGGATGATGATGACACATTTACACGTCCCCCGTACAGGCTTCCAGGCAGGGTCAGGGCTCTGCAGCCACTTTAGACTGGAGAGGAGAAGGGTAACTCAATCTGTTTGTTGGAAGCAAATGATAGTTCCCCTCCCCTGAGTGCTGGGTTCTACACTCCTATGCATTCTCTCCACTTCACCCCTGGGCGCAGCTGTTGCTTTCCAGGGCCTTGAACTAAATGGGGACAGGAAGGGGCGAAGGGTTATTGTTGTTTTTGTTTGTTTGTTTGTTTGTTTTTAAGGGGAAAGTGTGAAACTGCCTACTTTATCCTACCCCTTCCCTTGACTCCAAGTCCTGGCATGAATCATGCCCTTTTTTCTGATTCCCAGTGGGCACAGTGTTAATGGTGCATCAGCCTTTGTCCTTCTCTTTCCCAGGGAGCAGGGGCCTCCTCTTCAGCCTGTGAGAGTGGGGCGACCCCTCAGAGAAGATGTGGGGCTCCCTGGGGACTCAGGGCCAGAGAGAAGGAAGAAGACATGCGGGATGCAGAGGTCTTTAAGCTGCAGCTCTGACTCCAGATCATGGAATTGGATGCACATCAGAGGAGGACGTGATGAAAGCCCCATATAAAACAGGGAAACACAGGGGTCCAAAACAACAGGAAGGGGAAAACCCAGCTTCAAGGCCTGACCACATCCTAGCCCAGGTGATTTGCACAGGCTGTCCCATCGCCTGGAACATTCTTCCTCAGATCTTCATACCCCCAGAAAATCCCAGTAAGGACTTTGCTCAGTAGCCCCTCTTCGGGGGTCCAAGCGCCCATCTCATATGGCCCCAACCCAACTGGTTACCTGGTTCCCCTCTTAGTCCGTATGCCACTTAGCACTGTATAAATCGTCGTGACTCTTCATCATTTGCTGTTGGTGTCATTTAGCATGTGACTGCAACTGTTCTTTCACTAAGTGTCCCTTGAGGGACACGGGGCACATTACAGTTCCTAAAACAGTTAATTTTCAAGTAGATTGATAAAAGATTATAAAAGGACAGTATGACTTGTTACAATTGAAATTTAATTCTTATTTTCTTACTTTTAATGAATACTTCCCATCTCAGCTTTAATTAGTCAACTAACATTTGAATACTTTTTCTCAATTTATAAAGTTCGTTCAGAAATGTTATTTCATCTGATGCTCAGACCAAAAAGGCACAATTAGTTTAAGGGTGAGGAAGTGGAAGCCAGAGAGGTTAAGTGATGTGTTCAGAGTCACAGAGCTGGAAGGCGTGAGGGGCGAGGCTCAAAACAGTTCTCCTCTCTCTCAGTCCATGCATTTTTCATTAGGCTACATTTTTCTCAAATTAGTCTATAGTGGGCATACATATGCATGTGTCAGTTCCTTTGAATATCAAGCCACACACTACATGAATGATAATCAGAGGCTAATACTTTGGCGAGGTTTAGTTCTCGCAGGACCGTACACAGCAGAGCTCACAACCCTCCATAAAACACTCTTAAAAATGATGAAGGAAGAAAATGAGTTCAAAATAGTGTGGATGCGGGAAAATCATTCATAGGTTAAGACACTATGCTTCATGTTGTTGATGTTTACCTGTTTTCATTTTTCATCTGGGGTTACATCAACAATCAGATGTTGAGATTGTAGGTATGACCGAATTCATGAAAGGAGGCGAGGCATTATAAATGCATGAGAAAGTGTGGAGTCGTGAGTGGAAAAGTTCTAGAAAAATATCTATGAGATTTTTTTGTCACAGGGGACAGATTTTCCTTGGCATGTTTTAATAACTGAATGATTTCAGTATTTCCAATGCTACATGAGAGAGGGAAACAGGACAAGTTATTAATGTTGACGAAAACCACTTTGTGTCACCGAATCTCCCTCCCATCCAGTGAGTGAAACCTGCTTTACAACCCACTTCTGAGGAGAAGGGTCCAGAAGCTACAATCAGGTTACTTAAAAAAACAGCTCATCATCTTATAACTGAAGATGATCAATGTTACTGATCTTTTAGCCTAAAATAAAAAATAAGGATGAATGAATATACAGTAAATCTTCCTTCCTTCTCTCCTCCCCTTCCTTCCTTCCTGTGTCAAATTTTAAGCATACAACTAAATTCTGAATTTTTATCCAAAGTTCTAAAGTGATGTCTGAAAACTGGACAGAAAAGATCACAAGAACTAGCTCTTTCAAGAGAACCATTTCCCAAGAATAATTTAAAAAAAAAAAAAAATGCTGCAGTGCCTCCAATTCTCATCTTGGCTTAAATGGAGACATAAGCAAATAATACATTATATGTTAATAAAAATTAAAAAAAAGAAAAAAGTTGATACATAAAAAATAAGAGGAAAAGACTACATTTTTACTTTTTTTTTTTTAAATATTTTATTTATTTATTTGACAGAGAGAGAGAGAGATCACAAGTAGGCAGAGAGGCAGGCAGAGAGAGAGGGGGAAGAAGGCTCCCTGCTGAGCAGATGGCCCGATGCGGGGCTCAATCCCAGGACCCTGAGATCATGACCTGAGCCAAAGGCAGAGGCTTAACCCACTGAGCCACCCAGGCACCCCACATTTTTACCTTTGACTAGATTTATTTAAGTTGCATTAGATGTGGGACTGCTTACGGAGGATTATGCCAGTTTTTAAAACTTCTTAGAAGCTGTGGATGGCCCCACTGGCTTCAAGTGTACCCCACGGGCCAGGCAAGACATGGTTGGGGTGGGGGGTGGGGGGTGGTCGTGCCTCATTTGCTCCCATAGCCCCGGGCCCAGAGATACTTAAAACATCCTATTGGAATGCAGATGAGCCTTGGAGAATGAAGAATGACCATCACAGTCGTTTCAAGACTCTGCAGACCAGAGCTAGAGGCCTGCTTGCCTTTGACCTTGCCAGTGGGAGGTTTGTCTCAGGAAGCCCCAAAGTTGAAATCTTGCCTTGGAGTGGCTCTCTATCTCTAGAAGCAGCTAACCCAACAAGGATGCATGTGCCATTTATTAAAGTGCTCCTGGGAAAAATCTGAGGAGAGGATGGAGGCCAGCAGGGGAGGGATGAAGCTAAGTAAGGGGGCAGTTTTGGGCTCAGGCCATTTCCCTGCCTAAATCTGGTGAGGGTTTTGGAGTGAAAGTGGCACCTTTGATGAGGGAGCTGGACCTTTCTGCTCTTGCCCAGCCAGCTTTGCTAAGAGTGGAAGGGCTAAAGGGGTATCCCACTGCCTCTGGCTTTCTGTATCTGCAAGGAAGTGGGACTGGTAGCCCAAGGACAGCCTTATGAAGAGGGCTGGGAGGCAGCTGCAGGACATCAGAAGCAGTATGCATGGAAGCCTGCGAGTGTGTACCCAGAAGCAGGGGAGGAGGTCCGAGAGGATCTGGGCAGACCACCAGTTCTCCCTCCCTCTAGTACAGGTCCTCCCTCTACTGTGAACTCTCACTCCCTTAGCACCCCCTACTCTCCTCCTCCGCTACCTCAGTTTCATGCTCAAAATGGAATTGGGTAGGCGCGACAGGGTGGCACAGTCAGTTCAGTGTCAGACTCTTGGTTTCAGCTCATGTCATGATCTTGTTTTTGTTCATTTTCATCTGTTTCACCCCCATTGGGCTCCACACTCAGCATGGCGTCTGCTTGCGATTTTCTCCCTCTCTCTCCCGCTCTACTCCCCAACTCACGTGCCTGTGATGCACACACACTGTCTCCCAAATAAATAAATCTTTAAAAAAGAAAAAAATTAAAAATAATAAAATTGGGGATCTCGGCACTAAAATTTAGACTTTGACTTGAGATGCATATGGTCATTTTATACCTATGGGCAGTTCCTCAGAGTGCCAGGAGGATCCCAGCAGGGTCTTCTAGCACCAACAGAGGACTCTGTTATTGATATCACGTCCATCCAATTGGATTCATAACTAAACTGGGTGTCTCCTCTTTGCTGGGTTATTAAGATCCCACAGTCACAAGACTGGAGTGAAGGGCAGTTCAGCAGAAAGATTGGGAAAGAGCGGACCATAAATAGTGTGATAAGTACTCTGTCATGGAAATATTCAAGAAGCCCACAGGAAGGGTAGTAGACTCTGCCTGGGAGTCGGAAGGTAGGCTTCCAGAGGAGGGAACAATGGCGCTCAACTAACGAGGTTTTCATAGGCAGGGACAAAGATGGGCTGTAGGCACTACAGAAAGAAGGAACAGAATGAATAATGGTGCAGATGAAACAAGCCATGTGAGCTCACCCCGGGGACACTCAGCAATG